TATGGTGTTTGCGGTTAACCAAGGGGTGCCAAGTGTGGCCAGGTGGGTCCAGTTGGTGGCAGCATGATTGTATTTTCTTCTTTATTTAAATATTTAGGTGTCGGTAAATAATAAAGTATATTAAAAAAATGCATAAGGAAAACAACATTAATTTGTTTCTATCAACACTTTTGTCATTATTATTTTAATTTTTTTTAGATTGTGGGTTATTCAAGCAAGTGCACAAAATTAATTATTTAACCATTAAATGGTTTATTCATTTTTTTTTTTTTGGAATTCGTTTGATGTGTTGTTCGAGTTAAATCGAGTAGCTCGAGCTACTCGAGCTCGTATTGTTTGAGCTACTCGAGCTCGTGTTGTTTTTAATAAGCGGCTTGGCTTGGCTAGCACTTTTGTACTTAATGTATTTTTCCTTTAGATTGTGAATAATTCAAGCAAGTGCAAAAAATTCATTATTCGCATTAAATTATTATTCATACTACTTTTTTGGAATTTACTTTATTAAAAACAAGTTTGACCCCAATGTTTTATTTAAAATTCATAAACTTTATAAAATGAAAAAATAATAATACTAAAATAAAGTTCGTAAAACAAATCAACTCATTTAACAAACGAGTTCGATTAGTTGTTGGAGATCGACTTGTTCAGTTCAATACAAGCCGAGCTCGTAATCTTACGAGTCAAATCAAGTTTTGTTCGTGAACCGCTCGATTTGTTTCACAACTCGAATCCATTTTCGATTTTGGAAAAGTGAAAAATAATTAGAAATGGGAAAAATAACTGTGTAGACTGAAAGAGAGAAGAAGAGAGTTCACGCAACCATCCAAATGGACTTATTCGCACAGGATTTTTTAATGTTAGTGGAATTTTAATTAGTGAATAAAAGAATAATTAATTTCAAATTACTTTCGTTAATAGTAATTTGATTGGAGCACAACACCCCTAGCAATGCCATTTTAATTAAAAAAAAATCACCTTTTTTACCTATCCAAAAAGAAAAAAAAAAACTTTTGCTGAAGTTGGTGGGGTTTGTCAGCATATTAAAGTAGAAGTTGAAAAAGATGCGTTACGTTGACGTTACAAAAATTTTAGATGCTTCTGTTGGAATCATTTCGCCATTCAATTAAATTAAGAAAATTGAAAATGCGGTAGCAACTTTTTTTTTAATCGTCAAATGATAGAGATTTTCATAACAAATAACCCCTATATAGCGTGGATACATGAGAGTAGATAGAGCTGTAAACGAGCCGAGTCGAACCGAGTCGAGCTCGGCTCGTTAAGTAAACGAGTCCAAACTCGAGCTCGAGCTCGGCTCGTTAAGGCCTCGAGCTCGAACCGATCTCGAGCTTTAACGAACCGAATTATAAAATATATA